TGAGGGAAACTGTTCCTCGACTAAATTCGTAGCACACATTATTTTGTGAGAGCGAATCCCTTTCTATACTGTCTTCCTCTTACTTTACGTCTTAACAGATACCCGCCTCATTTCCTACTTATCCTGGAAAGAATGAAAACCACTTTTGAATTAGATCTGCCAAACTTATGACCAATTGTAAGCGGGATCAGGTAAATAAATTAAAACAGGACATAAGTAGCTAAAGCATTAAACACCGGGTATATGTAAATATAATTGAGAGATCTTAAACAATAAAGCTCCATGTGAAAATTTAAGAAATTCTTTTAAGATTTAGATTGACAGGTTTGATTATTTATAAACAGGTTAAAAATAATTATGAGATCATATATTGTAAAGTTCACATAAATTTTGATGTTCAAAGAATTACATTTCAATGAGAATTTCAGAATATTTCAAACAGCCTATTTCTGGTCAGCCAGCCTATTTATTTTAAATAAATAAATAAAATAAATATATATAATAATTCATCCGAAGCCAAGGGTAACGAGTAACGTTTGTTTTAAAAATGTAAGGACTAGAAAGTACAGATACTTGTGTGAAAATGTAATGAGTAGAAGTCAGAAGTAGGAAGAAAAATAAGTAATTGAGTAAAGTATAGATACATAAAAAGTGTACTTAAGTACAGTACTTGAGACGTCTGATTAAAACATGCAAGAAAATAAACATAAATCAAAGATCTTACTCAGTTTCTATAAGGCTACTGGACTACAGCATCTGGAAAAGAAAAGATGGGAGGAAATTTGAAGAAAAGGTAGAAAATACGTGAAAGTGAGAGAGAACTGGAGCTCAGCTAGATCTAGATTATTTGATCCTGGCTGGATTATAGGGAGGGATGACTAAGAGAGAGAAATCTTACCTGGCTATCCATTGGGAGAGGTGCTTCAGCCCTCAAACCACTAGTATCCTGCATTGTGAATGTCAGATTAAGCTGGGATGCATCTCTGTAAGGAAGGTTGTATCTGCGTCTCCCTGCAGGATGAAACACAAGGTTAACCAATGGCAGAAACCCTGATTCTAAAGCAGTTTAATGCTGCCACACCCGAAACAACAGCAGCTGCCTCCAGGCTAGCATCAACATCTGTCCAACCCAAACCTCACCAAACGTTTTTTTTTTTGCAACAGTTTTCGGTTGATAAGAAATTTGACCGCTATTTTTTAGGCTACAGCTAACCTCTTTCGGTTTGTCTGTCGGTTTTCATTTTAAACCGGCTGCATTTAAACCTGACTAACGAGGTTAAAACATTAAAGCAGCGTCCGCGAGCAGTTAGCGCTAAGGCTACTGACCCCAACAGTTAGCACAAAACTACTTTAATGTTGGGTTAAAAGACACAAAACGGGCTGTGAATATTTCAGAACAGGCTTCCATAGCCGCTTCAGTAAGTGTAGCAATACTCACAGGATCTGTAAATCCTGACATTATCCTTTAGCTTCAGAAATGCAGTTGTTTTTTTTTTTTGTTTTTTTTTTCCTCCAAGTCTCGTGTGTGTTTGGTCGGTTACCAGGAGAGGTTTCAGCCAATGAGGAGAGCCGCAGCAGTATTGGACACGCCCACTTTTCTTGACCGCTGATCCTAGTGCAGTAGGAAAATTCCAAAAAGCAGGATGGATTATGAATAGATGAGCAACAGAAATAATACATGAAAGATATAACTTATAAGATAACTGGATGTGTATGGATAAGTGCGTTTTTAGACAGGTCCTGCCCCCCGTACTGAAAACATACACTGCAAAAACTTTAAATATAATTTGGTACATTTTTCTTGAAATAAGTATTTTTCCCTCATTAAGAGCAGGTAACTTAGACAATATGCTGATGGAATAAGATGATTTACGTTTCAAAAACTAAAATAAAACTAATTAAAGAGAAACGCTGTTTTTTTTTTCACATTGGCCCTTTGATTTTACGTTATTACATCATGTTCTACTCACCCATAGGAGTTTTGTGTCATTTGGAGCCGTTCTGAAGATATTCTGTTATATCCAACGTCTTCCTATGGACAAATGACTTGAAGGCACAAACTAAATTGTTCATAATTTATAATTTATGGTACGCCAGCATTCATAACATGTAGGCGAATCACTGTCCCCCAGACCTCCACGGTTATATTTTTTATTTTTATATCTTTTAAAAAAAAAAAAAGCCGTGTGTATGAACATGATGTAATAACGTAAAATCAAGGGCCCAATGTCAAGAAAAGGGTGTTTCCCTTTAACTTATTTAACTACATAATATTTAGCTCATTTCTAAGAGGAAAAACACTCAGTCTTTTGACAAATGATGTTAAAGATAGGCTCTCTGTGTCTACACCGTTTTCCTGAAAAGAGATCACTCAGGACAAACTCTTTACATAACACTTTACAACTTATATGTATTGAATAACTATGAGACATAACAGATTTAGATAGAAATTGTAATCTTACTCAGATCAGAGAAGTTGTTTAGAGTTACAGATCGCAGCTGCACACACAGAGAAATGTTCGAGATCTGCCTGTTTTTCAGTGTAGTCCTGTTTCTCGGACTGAGACTGGCTGGATGTGCTCTCTTCATCCTCTGACATGGGAGAAGTCTCAGAGATCGTCTGCCTGGCTGTGTGTTTCCTGGATTGGGCCGCCTTTTACAGCTGCTTTTTGTATCTCTGCTTCTGTCTCCTTGAACCTGTCGGCCTCGGCAGATGGCCGCTCACACTGAGCCTGGTTCTGCTGGAGGTTTCTTCCTGTTAAAAGGGAGTTTTCCTATCCACTGTCACAAGCATGCTTAGTATAAGGGATTACCTTTGAGTCAATGAGTCGATGCAATCAACTGGTTTTCCTTAGATAGAAAACATTGAATCAATTTGGCTGTATGATCTGGTGAACTGTAAAGTGCTTTGAGATGATGTGTTGTGAATTGGCGCTATAGAAATAAACTGAATTGAATTGGAAAGCATCAGTTGTAATATGCAACAGGGAGCTAATATTAATGTTTATAAACTCACACTAATGATAACTAACCTAATATCGTAATTACCTGCTCGAATTAGTGTCAAATAGACTTAATTTTTCTTTAGATCAAATTTTTGTAGTGTAATACTAAACTATAAAAATTCTCCAAGGATATTATGTAGGTGCCTGCTGCTTATTGCATAATTCTTAGAGATTGGTTCAGCTCAAATCAGCAGCCTGCACCACGAAGCAAGATTACTGGGTTAGTGTGACAGCTTCAGCTTTAACCCTGACTTTCTGGTAACATGAAGCTGGATTTAATCTCAGCGAGGCCGGTCACCATGGTAACATCCTCTGAACGGCACATCTGCTCCAGGCTTTCATCATTGATCTGATTCCTAGAAAGCGCTCCATCCAGCAGCCAGTCAGCTGTTCGGGAAACAATGACGTTTCCTTTAATTGAAGACCTGATTTAATTCCTAGGGAAAAATTACTTTTACAAAACAAAATCAAAATAAAAGCAAAATATTATATTCTTGAAAAATTGAGTTTTTTTAAATGTATTTTTCCTTTGCCTCCTTTTTCACAAACCGACCCTATTCTATATTTGCTTTCTCCTAATTGGTCCTCATGCGCCGCTGGCTTTCACTTGTTTCTTATATAATTGTTATATGAAGCTAAATTTTAAAAAGGCTCATATATATATATATATATATATATATATAGTTTTGGTCTAGTAATTAGAGCAGTACGCTTGTGCTATGAAAAGGTTGCAAGTAGCCGGTCCGATCCCCACAGCCTCCACCCTGGGTTGCTGAGCAAACACATTGCACAGTATCAGCCCACTGCTCCCCAAGGGGATGGATCAAAATGCAGAGAACTCTCCGTTGTGAGACAATAAATGGATTTTTATATATATATATATATATGAACATAAAAAACAGAGCGCAAATGTGAGAATTTGGACAATATGAACTATATAGGTATTCAGGGGGCAGACTGGCGCATACATGCCAGGCCCTAAAACAGTGCGTTGGCTGTGCAACCATCAGGATGAACACCTCTTGGCTGTACACCGTATAAAAGAAGGATTTATGCCATCGCAGGTGAGTCGTTACCAGGATTTCTGTGAACTTTCATATTCGCCACATTATGAAAATCGGGTTGTTAAATATACAAGTTAGCAAAAAAAATATTTTGCTATAACAGTATAAATAAGAAGGGGAAATGTTGCACTGAAGCTGCACCGATGGAGAATTAATGATAAACCATTGTAAAAATAAACAAGAAAACACAAGGAAGGCTGTATTGTTTCTGTAAAACGGACCATTGATCATGTAGATCAGAGTCTGAATGAGACTGAAACAGAAATTCTACGAAGTTATATTCTAGACTTTCAGGTATTCTGTACATTTAGGGCTACATTTCAAGACTCACCATTTTAAAATAAGAGCAGATTTATAACATTTAAAGCCGGATGACACTTTGACTGATCCATTCTTGTATTAATATAATGCAATTGTGACATCAGCTTCCCACTGTTAATTTTATCTAGAACCGCCACTGTGTACGGATAATGCTTGACGGGGGAGGATGAAATGGTGGTATTCAGTTGATATAAGAAGATAGATGAAAGTCTGGAAAGCCGACTCACAAATAGATGGATGGATCATTAAACTAACATATGGTTAAAAGGATTAAAATGAGGTAAAGAGGAATTAAACTGATAGTTGATTAAAGAATATAGAAAAGGAAATTAAGGAATAAATGACTGAATTAATAATTAAAACACTTGAATGGATAGATGAAGGTGTGTTTAAGGTTGCTGATAATTAAAATGTATGGATGAAAGGTTGGAAAAAAGAGGCCAAATGATGTGTGTTGTCTCACAACATAAAATGTGTTAAATTTTGATGTGGAAAAAATAACTAAATGTTTAGACCATGGGACAAAAACAAAATAGTGATTTTTCCTCTTTATATACTTGCCTTTCCACACCTTCAAATACTAAACAAAATGCACGTCAAACCAAAGATCTTCAATAAAACCAGTTTTTAAGCTCAAAAAGAAAAATCCAACACTGTTTTTATTTATTATAAATCAGTACACTTCTTATAAAAAAAGTGGGCTTAAGATAAAACCATATTAGATTTAAACCCAACAAATTCAAGAAATGGTCTCCCTCTCTTCATAATAAACCATTTTCATCCCAGAGTCTTGATCAACCAGCAGGTTTACTTTAACACTGGTTCCAAAACACCTTTTTCTAAATCCGACCAAAAGAAAAAAAAAAAATCTTTCCGACAGTAATTATATGGTTAATATTGATCTCTCTGCAAAGTATTTCAAGTACAGCAAATTAGCAGGCCATGGGGGGTTCATCATTACAACCACTACCAGCAGCATTATTATTTGCATCATTAATGACGTGTAAACTCTGCTCTTTTTAATCACAGTTCAAGGGTGTGAAGAGTGAAACTCTTGCATTAAACTATGAGCTTGTGAGGTGCTTAGAGACAGATCATGCAACCTCTGCACAAATTACTCACAGATTTAGCTATAAGCTTACTTTGATGAGCTATTTTAAAATCGGTGAGATGAGCGATGCAGTGGATGAAAGCCTTTGCCTTAGAAAGAAGGTTGACATCAACATTTCTGGATGAAGTGGGTAAAAAAAGCTGCTTGAAGCGATGGGCAGAGCTCCAAACACTCGACATTAAGAGGGGGTTGGGCTGATAAAACTGTGCAAAAATAAGCAATGAGTGATGCTTTAAAACTGAAATGTCCTCGTGACATGATTAAAATCTATTCATGATGGTAATTTATACTTAAAACACTGCAAAATGAAAACCTTTCCATCTCTATAACAGTCGTCACGTTTATTTTTTCTATTCTGACTTTGACTTTTAAATGTGTGACCAGGTAAAAACTTGGGGATGCTAGATATGGTTGTAATGCAATTATTACCCCAACTCTTTACTGAGCCAATTCTGTTTAGCCACCCTGAATACATAAAAAAAAAGGAGCATATGTTCAATTACTAAAAGATGGGAGAAGGTAAAACAATAACTTAAATAGAAGTGCTTAAAACAACAGTTCTCAGAGCCCTTTTGAAAAGAGGAAAATAAATGGAGTAGCAGGAATCCCATTCCAACATAAAGAGGAGCTAAATGAAAAGCTGAAATGGTAATACTAATCTCCATCCAATAATTCCCAAGTGTCCAGTTCATTTATAGATCATACTCTTCCCTCTGATAGAAATATCTTCTGTTTTCGGATCAGTGCCCTCCCCAGGTCTGTGAGCCACGGCCCCCCTCTGTTTCCAGTCTGTCTGTGGAGGGACAGTTCGTTTCTGTACACCTCCCTTCTTCGTCCTTCGTCAACAGTCCCTGTTCCTCCTCTTTTTTCCTGCGCTCCAACTCCCATTCTACGAAGGTGTCAAAGAGGCTGGGCCAGGCCTCGTCCTCGCTGTAGTTACTGAGATCTGGCCCGATGGCCTGAGTGAAATTTAGGAACATGTTCCACGTGTCTCTTGAGATGCCCCGCACACCCGACGGGTTCTCTGCCAGGAAGTCAAGCCAGTGCTCCAGGATCTCAGGTGTGTCCTGAGTGAAAACCAGTCGCCAAAGAGCGATGGCGATGTCGCGCTGCAGCGACCGCTGGCCCTCGTCCGCGTCCAAGCCGAACTGGAAGGTGAAGCGGTAAAGGTCCTTAAAGTTCTCCTCTCCCTGAGCTTCCACCAGCAGGAAGGGAAAGCGGGAACAAATACCCTGGATGCTGTCCGCTCTGATGGCCTTGCAGCCTTCAACAAACTCCTTCCTAATGACAAAAATACATGAATAAAAAAAAGAAGTTAATCAGACCAGAGTTTTTGCGAGTCTCATTCAATTAAAATAAGTGTTTCCATCAAACTGAAATGCACATTTAAAAAAACTTTAAAAAACAGGAGATGTGAATTTGTGGTGTTTCCATTTGCTGTGAATCAAATCAGTCGAGTGAAACTAAGCGTACTGTCGTCATATGTCGTGTTCAACATTACATCATCACAAATGGCTGTAACAAACAGGAAGTAGACGCTGCAATCCAACGCCGACCACATATAATGGAGGAAAGTCTTAATGAATGTGTTGCTCTCAGGCAGTTATTCTAATGTTAAGATATCATATAAGCTAGTAATGTTGATGCTGCTTCAAGCCATGTTTACGCACATAATGGTAAGTCATGTGAGGTAAAGTCAGAACTAATTTGGAAAAAGTGATTCCCATCTCCTGTTTTGTGCTTTAACCATTTTTTTGCAAAAAGCAAAAAAAAAAAGAAAAAAGAAACACCTCAAGCAAGCATCAACCCTCTTTTGGGGATAGTGATTACGTTTTTTCGAATTTACCAATTCCATCACACTTTTCTGATGCAATTCTTCTAAATGTGCATGACAAAAAGCGAGTACACTTCGAATAAATTGGACGAGCAGTATGGAGGAATATTGGCACGTTTTTTGTGGACTTTTATGGACCTTTCTGTCTCGGGCACCATAGACCTCCATTATTTGAATGTCAGCAGACAGCAAGAAGCCTCCCAGATCTCCAGATGCATTTGAGATATCAAAAAAGTACTNCCTCCATTATTTGAATGTCAGCAGACAGCAAGAAGCCTCCCAGATCTCCAGATGCATTTGAGATATCAAAAAAGTACTCCAGGGTGTTGTTCAGCATGGGGGTGAGTAGAAAATGAAGGCTAATCATGTTTTGGGTGTACTATTCCTTTAATACAAAACCTACAAGAATTGCTTAAAAAAAATTATAATGTAAGAAACAAAATATCCGATTCTAAATCTAAAGGTAAATAACAATCTACATTAAAAGTGTGTCGTAGCACTGCAAAATAATGGGAAAACACACAACCTGCAAAAATATTTGTGAATGTAGTTTGTTTTAAAAAAATATAAATATAAAAAATATAACCGTGGATGTCTGGGGAACAGTGATTCGCCTACATGTTATGAATGCTGGCGTACCATAAAGACTAAATTATGAACAGTTTAGTTTAAGCCTTCAAGTCGCTGCCCATAGGAAGACGTTAATTGGATATAACAAAACCGAATATCTTCGGAACAGCTCCAAGGACACAAAACTCATATGGGTGAGTAGAACATGATGTAATAACGTAAAATCAAGGGTCAAATGTAAAAAAAAAAAAAACCTGTGTTCCCCTTTAATGTTCTCTCTGCAGCTTTATTTGTGCTCCGTTTAGCTGTGACACCATCCTGGAGGTAGGCATTAGCTTGCCTGCTTCCATTAATAACTTACATTATAGATGATGGTGTTCAGCGTGTCTTTCAGTACTAAACATAGCTAAAGGCTCAACCTTTACCATCACTAACTATGTGACTTTCAACCCTTTTAGGATGAAAACCAGTGTATTGCTCATATGCCTACCTGTTTCTTTCCTTGACAGAATCCCCTCAGCTAATTTATTATTACCTTTAAATAGAAAGAATCAGTGCCTCATTTTTTTTTATGTCTTTTTGAACCACAGGTCCAGCTTGGCTGATGGCCGCTCACACTGAGCCTGGTTCTGCTGGAGGTTTGTTCCTGTTAAAAAGGCTGGCTTTCCTTTCCAAAAAATACAAGGATGCAAAATACAGACTTTGGAAGATGTACTTATCCAAAATCAACAATTCAGCCTTTTTATGTTGTACTCCTGTTAGCAAAGCTCAACAATGGGTTGGGTGTAGTGTTGTTGTGAAGCCTCTGAACACAGCAGAAACAATAGGCAGCCCTATTCATCTTGTTACAGCAACTGTGGTCATGGTGGAGAGAATATAACGGAAGGACAGGCTTCCATTCATCTCAGTGGCAAAACATAAAGCTTCTATTTGGACCAGTTCAGTATTAAGGACTTACATCTGTCTGCACCCCAATTATTTATGTGGGGAAAGGCATCCCACGTTAATAATTGTTTTAAACAATTATTGATGTGGTCAGAGTCACAGCTCCTTTAACAAATTCTCTCCTATTAATATTTAACTTTTCCATTTCTGTATTCAGTTTCAGTCTAACAACTTCATTCGTATAAACAATTATTAAAATGCATCTTAAAAATAGTAAAAGGAGAAAAAAAACACTTCAAGAACAAATCACGAGGACATGAGAGGTTTCCAGACTTTGATGACAACTATTTGATTTTGAATTGATCCCATGAGATGATAGTGGACGGATCATGGATGTATTTTAACTGTTTGTGTAAATGGATTGTTTGCATTAAAAATCCCTTAGCACTTCACCATACCTCGTAAACTTGCACATGGTGGCTGCTTGAAACTTCCAGGCGAGGACAAGAACACGAAACTCTGCCGGGTCCACGCAGAGATCATTACAGAACCTCTCCATTCCCTCCTCCAAGATGGCGTCTTCCAGTTCGTCCTTATAGTGATTGAAAAGCTCCTCTATGCGCGCCATTGACAGCCCATCACCATCCAGGCTTTCATCTTTGCAGGGTTCCCTCATCGCTGAGGAGATGATGGGCGTTTCCACGGTGACCTCTAGGGCCTTGGTGCCATTCAGCAGCTCGCTGGTGGATTTGCTTGACAGCGCGCTAGAATCCTCTTTGTGGACCCCACCACTAGCGCTGTCGATTCTCTTGTGGGACTTGGAACTGCTCTCTTTGTCTCCACTCTTACTGCCGAGTGAGGACGTTGGATTCTTACACTTTGTGACACACTGGCCCATGTCTTCCTCCCTGGTCCCTTGTCAGTCTGTCCTCCTCGCCTTCAGTCCCCGTCCGAACCGCCTAGACACCTCTTCTCTGGCGTGCTGAGATGTCTCAACATACCCTCGGGCCTAAAGAGACAAACAGCTGCACACTGAATATTTCACTGTCAGTCAAATTTTGCTCAATGTTTTTATTTAAACAATTAATAAAACGCTTATATTACCTTGACCAGATCTGCCACAAACCAGAGCTTTACCTGTCAAACCTAAAAACCCTGAAAAACAAGGAGAAAATGCATAAACTTTTATGTTTTTTTTTTTTTACTGAGACTTTAGGTGAGAGACTAACATATAGTAGTCTCTCACCTAAACTATAAAACCACAGTAAGATACGATTCTTGTTTACCCTTTTAACCCCAGCAAACAAACCCTACACCGCAATACAGTAAAAATAACTGCAAAGGGCTGCAGCTGAGACAATCGACAGCCCCGATTCAATAAAACCCAAATGTTTTGCAATTGCAGGGACAATTTACTAGATCACAGATGGTTTGTCCCTGAAATGTGACACGCTGCGCTTCTCAGAGACATGCGAGTGATCAGTAGGACAGGAGCTGAGACACCTGTGAGCGGAGATGAGAGGAGCTTTAGATATAAATCTTAACTTGTAAAATATTTTTTTTTGTAGGTTCAAGCAATGTTTTTAAATCTGTTTTCTTCATCTTTGGTTGTATATTTAGTAGCATAAATCATCAGGATATTTTTGTCAGTCATATTTTTAGAGAGATATTGTTAATGAAAACCCCCTAGGAAAGAACCTGTGCCTTAACTGGAAATACAAACATTATAGAAATTTTTTGCTTTTAGTTATAAACTATTATTAGTACTTTTGAAAATGGTTCCTTTAAATTTTAAACCTTTTCATTGTTTTAATAGGGAACAAAAGAATACTGCCAATATTTACAGCAATGTTAAATGGTATGTAACCTGTGTTATGTTACTTTCATTTTAACTCCAAATTTTTTAAAGTATACCTTTATAATTTCTCATAAAATCGAAAACTGCAAAGCCCTTTTTGAAAGTTCACTTAAACGCCGTGTTTAATGTTTTATTTTAAGTTATGTACTTTTTGAATACATATAAATTCACTTTTAATACAGAGTTTTTATTATTTATCATAAACTAAAGCTCAGTGTAGTCATTTCAGAACCAGGTTTCTGCAGAATTTGGCTTGAAATAATATTTTCATATTGAACAGATAGTCAGCTTATTATTATTAAATAGTAATAACATTATATAATATGTGAAAACTGCAGTTCTAAACGAACTATTGTGCTGGTCTCTAGATAAGAAAAAAAGTTACGGGTATAGGTCCTAAACAAGCAAAATGTTAATTGAGAGCCCCAACTACTTAAATGCAAGAAAAAATAACATATAATTTTAAATATTTTTGCAAAAACATTTTTCCACCACTTCAACATCGTCAAGTCATAAAAAATCTCAATGAATGACTCTGAGGTTCAAGTGATCCTTGGGTTTCAGCACTTTCAAAAGCATCGTTTGCATCTCAATCAATAAAGATGCACAACCCAGGGCCAGAGACGAGCCTGGAAACCACAGCAGGGGTGTATTAGATATATATGCAACTGTTGAAAGCAGTAATTGGGAAATGATCAGACAATTCAGACACTGTGGAGGTCACAGCTGCGGCATACATCAACAAATTGTCAGTTATTTCAGGAAGTGAATGTGGAAAAACCCTGGAGTCTACGCTATTTTACAGTCTGACATTAACTCCCAGTAAAGACTGGCCTTCTACTTCGACAACAGTCGTAAACTGCTCTAGCAGGGCTAGTCCCTGCTGATCTATAAGAAGGTAACGTAACCCACATTTAAGGCTCTTTGCACCACAACAGATATAAGTCACTTAGATAAAAGATAAGTTAGATAAAATCATGTTAAATATAGTCTTGTCTAAGAGGTGTTTACTATAAGCTGTCTTATTCAAATACTAGTACAATAGTGATAGCATCAGCAATAATAACATTCAGGGGGCAGCAGATGAGAAATTTAAATTTGCTTGTCACTTTTCCCTTTCAGAAGGTCTCTACAGCGAGTAATTTGTCTACATTTAACCCTATCTTCTGTATCTTTTTGTCACACCAACTACTTTCATGTCCTTGTCAATTAGATCCATAAATCTCTTACAAGAATCATAATATGCACAATTGCATAACGCATGAAGAAAAAAATATTCTAAAAGCATGTTTTTTTTTTCTTTAAATACATTTGAAGTAACATAAAAAACAAAGGATGTCTATAGATGAATCATTAGAGAAGATGTAGAATAATTTATAAAACTATCATGGGGGAAGGGAGCAAACAAGAAAAAATCTGCCAGGAAGATTTGATGCTGGAGTGAACTAAGAATTGGCTTTTACTCCCTGAGACCTCAGAGAGAAACACATGCTGACTGCGCTGATGGGAATATCCGACCTTCTTGCTTTTCTGTGTAGAGACGCCGCTTGGTTTGAGGAAGTCTGAGCGATTTCAGTGTGTGTGATATTAGATCCTGAAGGAACTGGAAATTGAAGACGGCAAGGAGAATCTCAAGAGACGCAGCGATCTGATACCTGGATTGGATATCAGCTCCGATATCGACTAATTCTCCAGATCAGATATCGGTAATTAATATAGAAGATCCAAACCAGTGCACTTTATATAAAACTGTCATTTCTTTATTTTTGCTGCCTATTTGTTAATAATTACAATTATATCGGTGTTAATTTGTTACCTTTTATTTTTAAACAATTTATATGTTAAGGCTAAAGCCTTCAGTCACATGATAGTATATACAGTTCATCCATTCAACATTTTAATCTGATCATATGGGGCTGATAAACTCAGCCCAGGAAGTGTGCTAAATGTATATCAGCTGATACGATCAGGCTGAGTGCATCAGCCCGATACACTCACTGATACACTCAGGGTTTTTCCAATCCACTCTGCATTGGATTGGAAAACTGGATCGTTGCTTCTCTAGAAATCTTCCATATTTGCTTCCCATAAAAACAAAGGAAAGACATTGCTTTTAAATTTCTGCTACACCTCCTCTGCCATCCTGGTCATGCTTTCCTAACATCCTTCCATTCTAGTTTGATTTAACCAGAAAAATAAAATAAAGTGGTAATTGACATAAAAAATATGAAGTATTTAGAAATATTTCTTTGTTGTTGGGCACTAAGAGTCAGAATATGACATGAGTAGTTTAGCTATTATGACGACATGGATGTGAAACTTGCAAATAAACATGTAAATAACCCCTTCAATGGGATTATGATGGGATTTAGTTACAAAATCTATATATTTTTTTAAATGTCAAGAATGTATTTTTGTTAACCTTCAACCCCTGAAGGAAGGCCTGGTGTGAAACCATCTAATTTGACAGTTAAGTTGATCAGAAGCTGTTATTGTTTAAGCAAGTTACACAAGTCGATTATTTGGGTCATGCTTCCTGTACTGCCTGTCAGCATTTTTTTACTCTTTTACCAAAGTGATGAGGCAACTATGTTTTGGCTACACTCCAGCCAAGCCAAGATAAAGCTGGCTCTTGTAAAATATATTTTAATCATTAATGTTGTGACATAAGATGGGGAGTTTCTCCTGTTTAAATGGGCTTTTGCATCAAGGAGGCATTCATCGTGTGGCTATGCTGGTTTGACTGTTTCCGTGGGGAGATTTATGATTCGCATTCCAGTACTGGTAAACATTTTGCAATAAGCATCGCTGGAACACTTTTCATAAAGGTTGCTCTAATTTGGTGTTAAAGTGCTTTGGGAACGTATTCACACTCAAACTTTCCCACAATTGTCATGCCAAAACCACACATTTTTCATAAACTCTCAGGATTGGAACTGTGTATAGTTTAACTGGATTCATACCATCAGAAGGGATACTATGCACTACTGCCTTTTGTTAAAACAGCTGCTTTTCCAGGACAAATGTACACAAATGTTATTCCGCTAATTGAGAATACTTTTGTTCACAATTACTCTTGAAAAAAAACATGGCAGCAGCAGATGTAAACACATATGATATATCCATATTTTAGCCACGGTTCTAGTGCTCATCACGCTTAATGTCGCTAACTAAATATACAAATTACTTCCTCATGACTCCAAATATGCCGTGCCATTATCCTCCAACTACTTCCAGTCTTGTTCCAAATTTTTACAC